GGACAAAAGAACTGGCCTGTAACAGGAAAATGTTGGATCAGAGGAGGATGGGATGTCTGATTGGCTGGGGACATGCGAGGAGGATGCTGGGTTTGTTCCTGAACAGAACCTATTGAAGAACTTGTTCAGTTCATGGGCTGTGTCCAGGCTGCCATCTGTGCAATCCTTCCTCTGCTTGAAGCCTGTGATCTTCTTCATCCCTGACCAGACATTTCTAATATTGTTCCTCTGTAGTTTGTTCTCCAGCTTCTTTCTGTATGCCTCCTCGCTGTCTCTGATATTGATCTTCAGTTGCTTTTGTATACTCCTCAATAATTCCCTGTCTCCCTCCTTGAAGGCTCTTTTTTCTCATTTAGCAGATTCTTCAGTTCACTGGTGATCCAGGGTTTGTTATTAGCAAAGCATCTCACTGTTCTGGTGGGTATGATATTGTCCACACAGAGGTTTATATAGTCAGTGACACATCCAGTCATGGCATTGATGTCCTCTTCATATCCTTGGCAGAGAGTCATCCAATCTGTGGTCTCAAAACAACTCTGCAGGGCTTCTTCAGTGTCCTGTGACCATTTTCTCAGAGTTCTTCTTGTCACAGGTTACCTCTGAACAAGTGGTTTGTATTCTGAGCGTAGAAAAACAAGAATGTGATCTGATTGTCCCAGAGGAGGTCTTGTTTTGGACATGTATGCATTCTTAACATTTGCATAACACAAATCCAATGTATTCTTTTCTCTGGTGGAGCAGCTGACAAACTGTTGAAATGTTGGAAGTGTAGCAAAGAGCGAGGCATGATTAAAATCACCAGATATAGCCACAAATGCATTGGGGTGCTGGGTTTGTAGCTTAGCGACAACGGAACTGATGGCATCACATGCATTTTCAGCAATGGCTGAAGGTGGAATATAAATGGTTGCCAAGACAACACTGGTGAACTCTCTTGGCAAATAATATGGGCAACAACTTCCTGCCAAGAGTTCAACATCTGGGCTGCAGAGATGACATTTCACTGAAACATGACATGGATGGCACCATCTGTTGCTGACAAGCACTGCCACTCCACCTCCTTTTCTTTACCCGCTCCTCTTCAGATCTCTGTCTGCTCGTACAGTCAGGAATCCTGGCAGAGAGACGCTGGAATCGGGGATATGGTCCTGCAGCCACGTCTCAGTGAAACACATAGCACTACACTGCCGATACTCTGGCTGAGTCCTTGAAAGGGCTTGGAGTTCATCCATCTTGTTGGCAAGCGATCTCACATTGCCCATTATGATCGATGGAAGAGATGGTTTGAATTTCCTCTTTGTCTCCGTTTTGCTCCTGCTCTGCACCCTCGCTTCTTGCGTTTTAGCTCATTTGGGATTTGTGGCTTCAGTTGTGTTATTATTTCAGCCTTCCCAATGTTAATCAGCTGCTCCCGATTGCAGTGTCGGGCAAGTTGCTTCAAAACTGTAATGCATTATTTATTACTTGTTACCCTCATTTTAAAGTAATTCATTACATTACAATATTACTGATTTTAAAATGTAAGGCATTACACTACTTTTGCATTACTTTAAGTTACTTTCACCAAAACAACTTCAATATGAATCTGGTAATGTGACGCTCAGTGAGCTCATGACATATATGTGGAAGGTGATGTGGTGTCTGAGCTAGGATTGCTGTTAAAAACAGTCAGATATAATAACAGTGCTTTAAAATGATTGTTTATTAAATAAAAGCAACAACAATCTGTACTCTCAGCACGCTGCCATCTTATATTAACTGAGCAGGGAGTGAGGTGGTGGGGGCTCCACGCCTATATTTGCCTAGGTCCCCAAATGCCTTGATACAGCCCTGGATGTGGGACTGACTTCTGGGGTGATCTGATTCTATCACACGTATAAATATTAAATGCTTATATATTATTGCTTTTCACTGGTAAAAATGTGTATTGGGGATAAATCTACCTACTTTTTTCTTTTTTTTTCTTGATTTTATTTGAATAATTTCCTGCCCTTTCTCTCTCTAACCTTCCTGCATGCTGCATATTTTCTCCATCTTCCAGAAAAAACTGTTTCCTAGACTTCCTACTTTCTAACCATCAGCCAAAGGGATCTTCACATGCGCAGCGCACCAGCAGTAATGAGTTGAAATCATCGGGACACAGATTATGAACTCAGCTGAGGCAAAGCACGTCAGAAAAGCACAAAATACCAGAGAATATGCGCTGATATGAACGATCGCAAGTTAATTATTTTGTTTTAGTGGAGCGATTTGTTACAGCGGCCGCGTGCTGAGCTGAGCCGTTACCGCGGCGTCCTCTCTGCCCGCAAAGCTGAGTCCATAAATGACGTAATATGTGCAGATACTGGATCTTTCTTCGGGTTTCTCGCAATTTGAATTTTTAAGGAACACATCTTGATTCTGGGTTTAAAAATGCATTGTAATTACCGCGTTACTGACAATTGTACCGAGTAAATATTACCATTTTCTTTCCCTGTAATGCCTTACATTACCACATTACAGCAAAAAGCAATGCATTACAGTAATTAATTACTTTTGTACCGCATTACTCCCAACACTGCCCAATTGTAAACCAGCTTGCTGTCATGGTTACGCATCATAACAAATGCTCAAAAAGTGAAAAAAGTGAAAAAATAGCAGTGAAAATCCTCCAAGCTTCACAGCACCAGAAACAGAAAAGTAAAATGTCCAAAAATACTGTTTTTCTTGAGAAACTAGAAGAAAAAATGTCCAAGAAAAGGCAAAACTTACATATAGTCAACAGAGCTACTCCAACATGCAGCCACCCAGAGCAGCGCAGTTCCGGAACGTTTTGGTAGTTTTGGTGTTTGCATGATCATAGAGCATAATGTGACTATTCAAAAACAGTAAAAATGCTCAAGAATGCTGGCAGTTAATGAGCTAAAAAACTTTGATGCTCCTGCTCAAAGATGCAGAAGGTTGCTGTGCAAAGGTGGGCTGAAAACAGCAGAATTACTCATTATTATTAATGATATGCACACAGCTAGTTTGTGATTAACAGAAAACATTCAGCCATGTTGCAAAGTCACTATCATCAAGACACTCTCCTCTATCTCTCCTCTCTGCAAAAGTTTTTAAAAAGACTTCCTCTGGGCGGGCGTGAACTAAGATGGGCGAGGCCATAAATGCTAATTCTCAGTGTGACATAGATATGTGAGGATTTTCAAATCAGAAGCTAACGTAGGAGATAGGTGTAGAAGACTGTTTTCATCTTCAGTTTGCATGAAAAACTCCGAGTGTCAGAGTGACCGATTATAATCAGAAATAATAATTAAAATATGCTTTATTCAGTCAACCGCACCTTTAAAAACTACTTAATTTAACACATTTTAATTCTAGAAAAAGCATTTTAGTGCCAACAAGATAATTTACAAAAGCTAGACAAGATCCCATTTTACACATACTTACACAATTATTTTCCGCCATTTTTAGATTGCACAGAACAATCCCAAATTTTCTCCTATAATCAAGTGGTAGGGAGACCGTAGAAGTGATGTGCATTGTAGTGATGAAGAAAAGCAGGAGCGCTGCAAATGAAAACAAAAGATGCAATGATGTCATCTGCATAGCAAGTGACCCGAAACCTCCTCTAGGCTTGACTGGAATCAACGTGAAAACGAAATTCAAGAAGATGCTGAGAAAGGGACGATGCTCTAGAAAAGCAAAAATGAATGAGTGCTTGAACCCTTTAAAATTTACAAATATCTCACAACTAAACAACAATCATGTTGATCATGGAGAGATGTGGCTTACCTTTGGCCAGACTCATGGTGTGTTTTGTTTCCCGCTCGCTGAGTTAATGCTCTGGTACTGGCACAAGCTGCTTATATAGTCCTTTGCAATGTGGGATTTTTTTTTTTTTTTTTTTTGCATTCCATTAGCTGGTTGATGACGCCACCGTGTCATTATCATTCAAAAAATCTCTTTGTAAATGTTTCTTTTTTACAGTTGAAGAACAGAGTTTACCACAGTGGTTTACTGTGAGGAGGAAGCATAAACTGCCACAAAGGTATCAATGGCATCTCTAGCCTGTACTGAAACTGTAAACTCAGATGCTCTTACAAACTGATCAGTCACTGCTGTGATGCCCAACACATGTTAAAAGGTCTATAAATAGATAAATTGTCTAATATAAAGATAAATTGTCTGGTTCAACTTTGTTTTTACATTTCCACACCAATTTTACCTGTTTAGGTATTAGGAACAAGGATTTCTTATTTCCATGAACCCATGACAGCATTAAACAAGCCTTAATCAGGGGAAAAGATGGATATTTAAACATTTCCTATAATGTAAATTTATATCCATTTCTGTGAACCTTTATCTCTTATTCCTCAGGTTGGATAACACTACCAGACATTGCTTTGCTCCAAGTCGTAATTTAAGCCACAGATTATTTTTGATGTGGCGTTTAGAAAAACAATGATTTGGTATTATTTCAGTCATTTATAATGTATTTTAAGTATCAAATCCTCAATGCAATCAAACTCTAAAATCACTGAGATGTTCTTGTGTGATTTGTAAACTTGTGAATTAGATTACTTTGTAAACAAGGAAAATATAATTTTTCAGATGTTCTGGTAATGAGACACAAGGCATGAGGGGAAAAAAACAACACGGAAGAATGACATCAGGTAAAATGTTTGGAATTTCTAGTCATTAAAAATCAGTTAAACAAAAGGTATGATGCCAAGTAAAAGTGTGGTCCAAATGTTTCCAGATTTGCAGCATTTTAATGAAACTGGATGTTTTTGTAGAAATCACAGCCTGTAGTCAGGAACTTCCGTCTAAAATCCAGAAGGAGTATTAGCTAAAGCTCCTTCGGGGGTGACTCATTCCAGCGGGAATCAGGTCTAATTAATCAAAACCTGAGACTAATGTGTTTTTCTCAGCTATCAAATCACATTTTATTCACGTAGTATATTATTTCAAGCATTTTAAACCAGGTATCTTTGCGTATCCGCTGTTTTAGGGTTCCCTAACAGAACTTCAGCTGTTGCCTGGCAACAAGCAAATGTTTGTAAACAATCTTCTAAGATAACTGGCTCCTGTAGCTAACATGTCCTTTTGCTTTCTCTGACATATTCTCAGTAATAATGAGCTCTAAGTCCCTCTCTGCTGTGCTGGAGAAGAGGATACAACGTCTCTGTCTGAGTGACTTTCCTTGTGGATCCGGCTCCTGGGTGAGCTCCTCTTGACTACTGCATCTTATGAAGTGGTTTCAAGTCTTTGAATTGTTGCATGCACCACTTTTAATGCAGCGAATGTGCTTTTTTTAAAGAGGGAGACCAAAGACGGTCCAGAGGGAGCAGAAACTGAGTCGAGGGACGCCCTCCTGGATCTGCTGGACTGTCCTCGCTCTCCGTGGTGGCTTGATGATTACTCCTGGAGTCCTCAAGCTAAGGAACTGAGACGGCTGGCTGTGATCCATCCAGAACGTCTCACAGCAAAATTCATTTACAGTTTCTTTACTTCGTTTTGTATCGTGAACAAAAACGTGAGTCTGCAGACTTTTTGATCTGTTTGATTTAGTTCTTCTTTCTACCTACTGGTTAGGACCTGAGTATTTGTTCAGTTGTTTTTGCAGGATTGGTTAATAATTATATTATGTAATTACATTATGAAAAAATTCATATCAAAAATTATTTTCTATTAAAAGGTGAAATTTATTATAATAACCAAAGAGCTGGAGATCATCATAAATTGTAAAAGGGGACAACAAGCAGCTGTCCCATAAACCCATTAAGTCACCAAAAAACATCAAATACACAAATAAAACATGTTTTTATGAAGATCATCTCAGAACAAAACGCTACAATCAATACAGGTGACATCTGACATGAAATTTAGTTAATTTGTAAGAAAATAAACAACTAAAGCCAAAGAGAAGCATTCTGTTTTATCATAATTCAGGTCTGAGTAACAGTCTTTGTGAGGACACGAAGGCAGCAGAGGGTTTATGTCTAGTATTTTATAAAATTCTTATCATTTTTATTAGTATTTGCTTAAATTAATTTAACTTTTGGACTTGTGTGATTAATTATGACGCAAATGTTAATTTTACTATTTTATCAGTGTTTGAAGATTTTTCTATTTAAGACTGAAATCTCTAAAGTTTTGAGCTTTACTGACATTAAACATGAATAACATATATGTTATAAAATTAGAAGCATGTGCAGACGCAATAGTTCACAAGGAGTTTATTATTTATGTTCATAGTAAAAAATTAATTAAGCAAAATGTGATTCAATTTCCTGTCTTAAAATAAGTGGTTAAATTGTCATATTCTGAAAACTAAAAATAAATAATATTTGCTTTCTAAAAAAATTTCTTTTCACACACAGCAGGAATAATATTAACGTGACACATTCAAAATCCTGTGGTAAAATAAATGTAAGGTTGCAATCACTTATTAGGGGAACGGTAAAAAGCTTTGCACAGATTTTTATGCTAATTTGAAACAGCAGATACTCTTAATGTGGGATAATTGTAAGCTTGTCCTTCTGCTTCCAGGTGTCGGTTATCGATGGAGGCCTACTGAAGTTCAGGAAACTGGAGAAACTTGATCTGAGCTGTAATGTAATCTCAGAAATTCCTGCAGAGAGCCTTCCCAGCACCTTAAAGGCAAGTCTTTGTGCTGCACTTGGTTGATGCAACAACTTTCTGCAATTTGTCATACCAGAAGTTTCAGTCATTAGCACAAGTTGACTCACAGCTAAATATGAATGGCAGGAAGTAATTGACTTTAAAAAAATCAAAGGTTAAACACTTGATTGGGACATGGCTGAAGTCACTCATGCAGCAGACGATGTGTGAAACTTTTACTTCATCAATGAAATATTTTACCTGGTGATGCAACACGACTGTTTTCTTTACAGATTTTGGAGTTACGTGCAAACTGCTTATCTTCTCTGTGCAGTCTCACAGAGCGCCCGCCTCCTCAGCTGCAGTACCTCGGCCTCAGCTCAAACAGGCTGGGTTCCCATAAAGACATTTCTTGTCTTACAGGAAGATACTGGTTAATACACACATACATGCACACATGCACGCACGCACGCACGCACACACACACACACACACACACACACACACACAGGAAGTTGTTGTTGTTTTTAAAGAGTTAACCCAAAAACCAGGTCAAATGAAAGCTCAGTCGCAAATGTGGGCTTTGTAGTTGGTTGCAAGGTCAGACGGTGATACCCCATCATGCCGGCGTGCTTCTCTGAGGAGGTTTTTCTGATCCAACAGCAGTTTTCTGTGATGACGCCCACTGACACACAAAATGCTTAGTTAGTAATGCAGCAGAAGATGCCTCTAAGTACAAAGCTGTTGATCCCACCTAAATCTCACACAAGCACACATGTTCTGATAGATTTTATACCAGAGACTACGCAGTGCTTTTATAAAATCACAGCTTGTTGCTTGCACTGATACTACAACTGAAGCAGTGGGGGTTTATCCTAAAGATGGGTGAAGTTTATGCTTACAAAATGTTTTATTTATTTAATAAAAATCTGTCAGGTAAGGGTCACAAATATATGATCTTATGCCTGTTTTCCTACCACGTTATGTGTAATTGCAAACCTGTCATTTTAATTGTGTGTTATTGAATTAGTTAATTACGATTAATTAATTAGAAAACAATAACGTGGTAAAAATGTTCACCATTTGAACCCGAGCTTCTCCCAATTGGGGGCCGGTCTCATCAAGCTGCACCTCTAACAAGACTAAATAAACCTTTTTCACCTGCTCCAAACACAACTAAAGCTGCAATTAAATAAATCATGACAAATCGATCTTCATGAAGAAAAAAAAGGAAGGAAATTTTTAACTTTTTTACCGTTATGTTTTCTAGTTGGTAAAGCAGGCAGGCAGAAACTTTATCCATATGAACTTTATTACAACAGGAGGAACAAACATACAGCATTTATCTTGTAACCCTCAGCAGAACTTCCCCTGAACTCTACACTACACCTCTACACATATTAGCGTTGCTCTGCTGCCACCTCGTGTTCAGTTCAGTACACAACATTTACAATTTTCTATGTCCATTTACACTACATCAGTAGCACATGTACTAATCTTTACACATCCCAACAAATCCCACAATGATTACCTTTATGAGACCAAATTAAACAAAAAGTCTTTGTGGTTACAGAAACGTACTCATTAAAGTGTTGGTATATCATCTGTGCCTAATTAACATTATTACTGATTTTAAAAATAGCTTGGGCGCAAATTGTCCTGAATGATTAAAACACGATGAATCAAGATTAATTAATTACAAAGCCTCTAATTAATTAGATTATTTTTTAATCAAGTCCCACCCCTAGTTATAATCCTTTTGCAACTATTGCTCACACAGTAAAGGTGACATGAGATGCACATGGGTGTATTTTTGATATAACTTTAGTACTGGAGTCGGTTTAGTTTGCCAGGACAAAGTGCTCCTGTGGGTGTGAAAGTTCACTTTTCTCACATAAACACTTTCATCAGAATGTTCTGCTTATTCAGCACAATCTTAGCAATTCACTATCTAAAAAAGGCTAATTTATTCTTTTATGTAATAATATTGCCATTTAAAGGCTGCATTAAATGTAATAAATTACATTTCTACCCTCACATTACATCAAAAGTTCCAGATAAAACCTTAGACCCTTTGTGCCCTCAGGCCACAGCTGGTGACTTTGGAACTCAACGACTGTGAGTTTGAGGACCAGCAAGCCCTGCTGAATGCTCTGAGCTCTCTCCCGTCTCTGAAGATGCTGATGCTTAAAGGAAACCCATTCACCCTTGCACCATCGTACCCTGGCTTGGCTGTGGACTGTCTCCCACAGCTGGCCTGCCTGGACACCTTGTGGCTCTTTCCTAAGGAAAGGAGTCGTTTTAGAGGCTTGGCCTCAGTGAGAGGTATTGCCAACCTGTCATTTTATTTGTGTGAAGATTCAACTTTTTGTGATGCAGGATACATTTTTATTTGTGCAGATGTGACTATGGATGTGGCTTCGGTCACAGTGAGTCTGGGCAGGCTAAGAGGAATTCCAGATGTTCTGACGAGTGAGATGAAAACAACTTCTCCCGTTGCCCCCGTATCCTACAAATACTTCATCACATATCAGTTCCTCTGTTCTTCTGCATCCGATAAAACGGTGAGAAATTGTTTTTAAAATCTCACATTAAATTTTTTAATCTGAACTTTAAACTTTTATTTTATTTTATTAATTAAAAAAAACAAATTTCCTCACAATAAATCAAATTCTCTTCAGTTGTTTTCCAGTTATTTCAGCTAAATTTAATGACAAATTGTTGTCCTCGTTGCCACCTGTAATTTGTGAAAAAAAAAGTCTTTACTGGCTGTAACGAACAAGTTACTGATTACAATTACTAAACAAGGTTTAATTTTACAGATGAAGGTTTGCACATTCTCAGCATTAATCCTTAGCTGATTTATGTGTCAAACATAATTGACAAATTCTAATATTTGTGTAAATTATCCAAAAAATAATCAATAGATAAAAAAAGCCAAATGCTAATTTACAATAATTTGTTTTATATGTTGATGCTTAAAGTAAATTTTCTGCAGTTTCAGCTTGAGTGAAAATCTGACCAAAATGTGTTTTTGCTAAAATACCTCAAACTATATAATATTTAAACAGATACAGTTCAAAAACACACTAAACATTTGTTGTGTGTGTAATGTTGCTCACAGAAACTCAACAGTGAGTCTCAACCCGACACCACCTCTACAGCTCACGTGCCAGAGGCGGACGCTGACCAACAACAAACAAACCAAGAGCAGTCCAAACCAGACACGGGAGCTTTCACGCTCCATGATGAAACCTACACTGGATTTCAACACTGTAAGAATACATGGTTTAGGTCTTACAGAAGAGACGTTGCGTAATATAGTAGTCATTAAAAATGTCATTAAGTCATCAAGGGGGCGTTGGCCAGGAAATATGAGGCAGTTCAGAAAAAATCCACTGGAATTGGGATGGACTTTTTCTTATCCGCAAGGTCTTCAGAGAAACAGTCAGCATTGCTAGAGGGTGGGGTGGATAAGTGATGACAAAGAAGATCAGATTCTGTCAAACACATTCAAAGCTTCTTTTTAATTACATGTGATTGTGAGAATTATCTCTCCCCCCTTTCCCCCAGTATCGCAGCACAGCACGGCTAGGATGATGTGGTCCAAGGAGATGGACTTCAATGACAAGCAAACATACACTGTCAGTTCTCTGGGACAGTTGAAGAAATTTCTCAATGAAGGACTTGATCTCAGGCTGGAGGAGGAAAAGGTGTGGAAAGTTAGGTGGGGTGGAGGGATGGTGGAGGATTTTGGCATAACATGAGCTCAAAGTTACATTTGTTATTTGATACGCCAGGTGCTGTCTTGTCCTGCAGCCTTCAAAAAGGAGGGGAAACCGAGCCGGCCTGAGAAGGAGAAGAAAACTAAAGAAGAAGTGAGTTTGGTTTTCATTTTTCATAAAAAACCAAGCATGTTGGTGCATTATTGAGTTCATGACCCTGCTAGTTGGCAGGAAATCCAAAATGCAGCCTTTAAAACATGCAAAAACAATAAAAAAATAAGTCATGACTCTATTTAGGATTAAACCGAAAATACTGAGATCTAATTGAAAATGAATATATTGACTTCTTTAAGACTCCAGCTAAATCAACTTCCACAAAGGACAAAATGAGCAAATCTGCACCAGAACTGGTTCAGGACCCCCCCATCAGTGCAATCCTTGGCTCTGCACACGTTCCCCTGCACAGCATGGTCCAGGGGAGTCAGAAGGTCAATGTCCTCTGTGACTTTGGACTCCTTCAAAAGGCAAGTTGACATCCTGCAGTTTGTACTGTCTTCTGGGGAAGCGCTGTAAGACGAGGGTAGGGTCTCCAATCATTTACATCATAATGCCATAAGAGCGGCGGGGGCATAGCGCCATGGCCTGCTCAAATGACGTTACGCTACGCTAAGAGTTCATATAAATTATGTAATTTAGGCTGAAACTGGACAATTTTTCCGGCTCCCCCTGGAAGTGTCAGTTGAGGGCTTCCTGGGGAGCATGGACGTAACTTCCACTTTAAAAGTGGGGGGCTGGGGGTGGGGGGATCTTTACAGTATGTTCTAATGGGAAACAGGCTTCAACACAAACGGTTGTTTTCTGCTTGGTCCTAAAGCTCAACCAGTGTCAATTTAATATAGCGTAATATTGTTTGCGGATGGTAAAAAGTGCAGGGGTCCAGACTTGACTTAGGAAAAAGTGGGGGGGACATGTCCCCCCCCCCCACCCCCCCCCCCCCCCCCCCCCCCAAATTACATCCATGCTGGGGAGCCCATTGTACCGCAACTCGAACCTTGAGTAAATCCAGAGCTGAGATATGCTAGTTTTAACTGGGCTAAAACAAATTCTTATGTTCATTTAAATGACATGAAAATGTATTGAACATGAAAGTGTTTTGATCACGTCTTAAGGATCTTGGAATGGAAATTATGGAGAAAAAGAAGGAAGACGAAGAATCAAAACAGACAGGAGGCAGCGGAGCAAAGAAGAGCACAGCAACATCAAAAGGTTAATTCAAACAATTACTAAATGTTCTAATGAAAAACAATTACCTGTGAAGAACATGTATGTTTTTTATTTTTGTTGGTTTCAACACCAAATTCTAACATACGCTTTAAAAATGTTAAACATAAATAATAATGACACTATATTTTGTGTAGACTTTTTCTCAGTGTGCATCCTCTCATGGGTCTGGTTTTATATTTTTGACAAAAGGAAAAGGAAACGAAGACGCAGATGTCCAGTCAGAGCCGTCCACACCTGTCCAACAGGAACCAGTAACCGTGGAGCTGTGTGTGGAGCTGAAGAGATGGCAGACAGCATCTGACATGCTTCAACCATCGCTTAAACTCACTGCCACACCCAAATTTAAAAAAAAGGTTTTGAAGCTTGTTAAACGTCAAACAGAAACTAAATAATGGATTAGACAGAAAACTGTTCAAATCTGTGGTGAAGAAGTTATTAAATGTTTGTTGGCTCAAAAATGCTTTTCATTGTACTTCAAAATAATGAATTGTGCACACAGGTATGATTAAATTACATCACCTTGTTTTTCTTAAGGTGGAATCTGAAACAGCACAAGCTTTTAAAGCTAAATCAGATATTACCAAAACAATCAGTAATTCCCTTTCTGCAGTTTGTTGTTTAAATTCACAAAAAATATCCTCTTTAAACCAAAAAACACAAATAATGCTGCATTACTATCCTTCTGCAATAACTATATTTTCTGAAACATAGTATTACATTACAGGAAATTATATTATTTCAAAGACAACAATGCACAGAAATATGTTTTCAATTAGTCCATAAACTTTATTTTTATAGTTTTTTTAAAACATGTAGCGAGAGATGCCAAAGTTTTTCATTTATGCAAACAAATCATTTTTTATCAATAACAAGCTTTCAGAAAAGTTCATAATAACCAAACCCAGAAGTCTCACAGTAAGCACAAAGTTTCTTACTGATCAACATCAGAACTCCTTAAAAAAGTTCCCATTAAAGCCAAAGAGCACTGGGCTCATGCTCCACCCCAAATCTCCCATCATAAAATTACACATATAGCATTCTTAGGCATAGAAAAATAAACTATGGCTCACCAATTCTCTTTTTTTGCACAAACCTATATTTGTTTTTCAATCAAGTATTTTACAGTTTGAAATAAACACCTTTTATGATACCATTTTAATCTTATAGCCCCAGGTATTTTGTGCAAATGTTAGGATATTGATAAATTACCAGATCTGAGGAAGACCACAGCTTCTCCCAGAACCATACATCCACTTACAGTTACTCTCCCGCGCACACAAACCCAGGATAGCAACAGTTTCCTTCCAACACCCATTTACAGTTAAAAACAATGACTGGTAGCTTCTGCGTGGTATGTTTCTAGATGCTACAGGAGCGCTTAAAGGCCGATGTGGACAGCACAGAACCTAGGAGCACGGCAGAACCAATGTGATGAGCAAATATACTGACTGTGCGAACAAGGGTTTAAAAGGCTTTTAAAAGGTCTGGTCGTCATTACAAAAGTCGGTCCAGTGGCCAAAGACCTCACAGGTGTCGCAGTAGGGTCGTTCGTCGCTCTTATTGCCGTGGTAAGTGGTGTGTGGAGGCGAGTCCGGCATCTGCTCCTGTGTGGGACAGTCCTCCGTGTCATGGAGGTCGAAGCAGTCGCAGATGTCGCAGAACAGTCTTGGAGGAAGCTTACTCTTTGCGGGTTGCTGGTCGTAGCTAGAGAGAGGAATTAAACAGCTGTGTGAACATCGGTGTGAGGTGTTGAAACGTCTGCTGTGAAGGGAACTTACCCATCATCATTTTCCAGTTCATTTGGATTATTCCCATTGAGAGCCGCAGCAGCCATTTTCTCCAACTTGTCTTTGAGCTCCTCGTTTTTCCTCTGAAGGTCAACAATAACGGAGTTCAGGAATTCAACCTGTGAAGACAAGAGAAATGTGTGGCATAAATTCATGACCAGGCAAATACTGATTTATATTGCAATAAGTTTTTTTTAATGTGAAATTATCTAATATTTTTGAAGTGCCAACGTCTTGCCTCAAAGATGAACTCAGTCCTGATAACAGAGGTGAATCAGTGACAAGTTGAAGTTAGGAATGACCAGAACCAGAAAAATACCCAATATGAATCTTACTGAGAAGTATTTTAACAGGGTATCTGCAGGTTTAAGGGAGCCAAATTTAAGACTTTTTAAGACCTTTTTTTAAGGCCACTTGGACTAAATTTAAGCTATTTTTTTTTTAATTAAATTTAAGCTATAATTTCCAGCTATTGCCTGGAACCGGTGCTGACCACATCGCGAACGTGGGATTATCCATCCATTTACCATTAATGTTGCACTTCCCCATGGCGCAAACTCCCACTAGCTTGCTCATCTAAAAATAGCCCCCTTTCACAACCAACCGAATGTGCACGGTTCCGCTTACGCCAATATCATACACAAAAAATGCTGAACACTAACTTGAAATTCACGAAAATTTTATAGAAATAAAAGAATCTTGTTTATTGGGTCTTTGGTAATTTAAGACCTTTGGAAACGCTATTTATGGATTATTTGTCATTTTTAAGGAATTTTAAGGCCTTAAATTTGGAGAAGCAAATTTAAGACTTTTTAAGGACCTGCAGATACGCCGTTTTAAGATCTGATGCATCTATGACATTTAAAAAGAACTTAAAACAGTTGCATAAATGATAACGTTCTTGATCGATTCATCTTTGGATGACAGTTTCTACACTTCCCCACTAACTACGGTGTGATTGAACAGAATGAGACAAGAGCCACAGCGGAAACATAAGCATGCACAAATGAAGCTGATGAAAAACAGTAACAAACCGCAGCCTGACGGTGGTGTAGCATTGCCAACATCAGAAACAGGGAAGAGGAGGAGTTGAATTTATTATGATGAGAGAGAGAAGAAAAAAAATGAAACTTGCATTAGGACCCCATTTCTGCCAGACAACACACATGTCATCACACACATACACAGATTATACAGTATAATGTTTTTGAACAGGAGACAGAGGTGAATGGACACACTGATGGAGCATTATGGTTCTGAGTGTGGCTGAAACCCACTCAGGTGAGAGGATGGGAGGATCACGCTGTCATTCAGACCCATTTTCACCTCTGCAAAAGCATTATACTGTAACCAGAGTCCACACTGCCCCAAAAACTCCAGAGTCTATGATTGTTTTTATAGAATCTGGAAGCAAATTAATGCATAAAAACTCTCAATTCGCACGGACAACATTTAGTAAGGCTGTTTCAGTACAGCTGCCCCAAAAAGCTTATCAAATAAAATATTATTAGAAAGGTTTATGGGCAGAGTAGGAAACCATCAATACATAGAAAGCATAAACATTGCAGCTAATTCATGATGAGGTTAATAGCACAAACCTGACTCTCCGCTGTCTCTTTGTCTTCCCTCATTTGGTCTAAAGTCGCATCACCTGGGAAACAAACCAAACATGTCATTCTTCAGATCATGAAAAAGACTCATTTAGAGCTACATGTAAGCGTAACCGTAGTTCTTAGTCACTCCCTGTGTTACCCAAGGACTTGTTGATATTGTCAGGTCCAGCTGTGAGATCTTCCTCCAATCTCCGAACACGCTCCTGTAGGTTAGCTTTGTCCTGCTCCAACGTCTGAATTGTTCTCTGCAGAGTCTTAATGGAGGCACTTTCTTCCTGCACCGCAGCCAACTATGGAATAAAATAAACCACTGTAATAAATACTGAACAGAGACTATGACTCTTTATGTATTTCAACAAAACAACGTTGGAAAGCACAAGCAATAATTTACGTCACTTATCAAGTCTAGTTTTCGGCTGACAACAGTCATAGATTACCTTTCAGATTAAGAAGAAATTATATGAAAGCAGGTCACTACTTGACAGAGGAATTAAATCTGAGAATGTCTTTAGGATCTTTTGATTTTTGTTTTCGATGTCTAAACAATTATTCTGCAAGAGGATTAATTAGCTTCAGAAAACATTTCTTTTCAAACGTGAATATTTGAGGATTTGAGTCCTTAAGAGTTTTTAACAAATCAGGAAAGAAATGTGCTTCTGACCTGTAATTAGAAAATTAGAGAATTTAATTAGAAAACAGGTTTCTGCTCCTAAATTCTTTAGCTTATTTAATACGTTTGTCAGTAATGGCACCTAATCACCAATGTTAGTGTCTTACCTCACTCTTCAGGTTTTCCACCTGCTGCTCCTTTTCTGAGATTAAGGCACTGTTTTTATGGAGGGACTGTTGGAAGGCAGCCTGCTCCTCATTCAACTGCTTCTTCAAAGTGCTTTCACTGTTTAACACAATGGCAGTTTCACATCAGAGTGGAAAAGTGCAAATAGGATCAAATGAAAAAAAAATGTTTTAACCTGTTTTAATAAATATCTTTCATGCCATTTATTTATGGAGAACCAAAGATTTACCTACAGCAGACTTTAGAGGATTTTATTAACAACACAGTGTTGAATGTGTACGTGTGTTTGATGATAAAACTGAGTAAAAAAAATTATGAAATGTAAAAAATGAGGAACAGAAACTGTTTTTGTCAAGCAGATGACTCAAAATGTGTTATCAGCTCTATGAATGTGTCAAATTAATTTCTTTTATGAGATGATTATGACAAAACATATTGAATAGCATCAAGTACCTGAAGGCATTACATGGCAGGCTTAGAGAAAAGAAGCACCGCATATAATAAGTGTCAGATGAAACGAGTAGGTTTTTAAGAGGGCAGTTGCAAAAATACTGATAAAGAAAAAACCCAAACAACTAAATTATCTCAATATATAAATATATTTTCTAACCTTTGTCTCAACTCTTTCAGCTCTTTTTCGAATTTTGAGTGTTCGTCCTGCAACTTTGGAGAAACAAATGTAAATGTGGTCAATGCATCGCAAATAAATAATAAATATACTACAAAATATTAATTATAGTAGCGACAACAATAATGATGAAAGTGTCTCACCTTCACAAGATCACTTTGGTCTTTGTGACTGTTGTCAAGCTGCTGGGACAGCTTGTTGTTCTGATCTTGCAGAATCTGCAGAGACTCTGACTTCACAGAGACGGCTTCTGTAAGTTCTTCACTGCTCAAAACAGAAATGTTAATAATACATCTGTTGATTAAGAATAATCTGCCAAATGCATATTTATAAACCTTTTTTTTATTTTTTTTGTTTAAGTTGAATGTACTCACATTTCCTGACACAAAATCTTTGTCTTCAGCGTTTTTGTGCAAAGTTGTTCTTTGGACACTTTCAGGTCTTCTTGATACGTGGAATTCTCTTTCCTGAGAGTTTCCAGCTAAGTCATCATTGACAAATGTGTTAATAACTGGTAATAACGTGTTTTTCTCTTTATATTACACTAACTCTTGAAATGTCCATCCTTTCCTCGGCTAAGCCTCCTCTCACCTCTGTCTGTAGTTCCTCCTTTGAACCCTGGAGCTTTTCCAGCAAAGACTGAGCTTCATTCTTCTCCTTCAACAGAACAGCGTTCTCCTTTTTCAGCTGTTCAATCGCTTCAGAAGTCTTGCCAGCAACCTCTGTGGCCTAAACAGTGCAAGGAAGAAAATTACTAAGATCTGTGATTTCTATTCAAAAGCAACCCATTGATATACATTTTTTATTGTCTCATCTCATTTCGAAAAAATCATTTGCATTAATTTTATTGGAATAATTATCTATGCTTAGCTAATAAAGTTTATTACCAATTAAACAACTAAAATATCAAAATAATTGCAATTTTCAAGCACAGTCTTGTTTGCAATTATTGAAATCAGAGGGAAGGAATATCATTTCTACAACCTGTGGTCTCAGAACGGAGACAGAAATACAGTCAAGCTGTAAAAAAATTGAGATATCAGATCGAGATCTTTTCAAAAGGATAAACTGTTGGGCTTTATGTAGTCATCCATAAAAAAATTTAAATGTGCTAAAAAAAATCACCCTCATAATGGTGTAAGCGGTCATTAGCTCACGTTATAAGCCCACAGGAAACAGCTGGGAGCTAAGAATAACCAACAGCAGTTAGTAGATGGAAGATGAACGTTAAGACATGAAAAGAAAAGGGAGACGAACCAGCAGACATGCAGTGAGAGGGTGGCATAGCCCCAGCAACACTAAGGTGTGAGAGTCAGTGATTAGTACTGGAGGAGAAATACCTCAAGCTGCTTAGAAAGAGCATTTTTTAGTTGCGTCTCGAGGTCCCTGACTTTCTGCGTGGCTTCGTCCCTCTCCACCTGCATGGCATCCCTCTGAGCTGTGACACCTGAGAGGCTGCAGGAAATCTCTTCTTTCACTGCAGCAGATGCGGATACCTCTGCAACAGCATCCTTGTACTGTTCTTCCAGTTGTTCTTTCTCAGTCTGCTTGGACTGAACTTCATCCTCCAGATGTTTCTTGCTAGCCTGCAAACACCTCACCTCTTCCAGAAGTGTCGAGCGTTCGGCGAGCCAGTCCACCTTGTTTGTACAGAGAGTAGAGTTTTCTTCCTCCAGTTTAGACTGCTTTGCTGACAGCTCATCTTTCTCTGTGGTTACCAAAGTCATTTGTTTGTCCACTTCTTCAAGCTTAGATAATAGCTGCTCCTTATGTTCCATCAGTTTGTGATTTTCTTGCTCTAGCTGCTTTAACTGTGTTTTCAGAGCCTTCACCTCCACCATAAAGGACTTATTCTGCTCACTGGCATTCTTGAAGTTGGATGAAATGTCTTTATTTTCTTGTGTAGCTGTTGACAAAGCTCTCTGAAGTTCCTCCAGCTGTTTGAATAAACCATCTTTGTCAGACATGGCTTTGTGCCGTTCAACATTTTCTGATTGCAACTCGGTCTCAAGAAGGCTCCGGGCCTCAGACAGAGATTCAATCTGACTTTTTAACTCCTGGATTTGTTGAAGCAAAACCTGGTTCTCGTTCTGTAAAAACTGCACTTTGTTTTCAGCCCCAGCCTGCAGTGTCTGAATCTGACAAGAATCATTTTTCAGATTGTCCACCTGCCTAACGAGCTCTAGATTTGATTTTTCTAATTGGTCTTTTATTCTTTCATGCTCACAGACAAGTTCAGCTTTGGCCTTCTCCAGAATTTCAGCGTTAGAGGAAAGTTTCTGAAGTTCATTTTGTAAGCCAGCTTTCTCTCGCTTCAAGGAGTTCAGCTCAGCTTCCAGCTCACTTTTCTTCTGGGTTTTATCCTCAAGCATGGCTGTTAAATTGTTCTTGTCTTGAAGAAGATCGGCATTGCTTCTGGTAAAGCTATCTAACTGGTCCCTAGTGCTACGGATGTCACCAATTAGCTTTTCTCGTTCAAGAGAAAGAGCCTCCTTCTCAGATGTGGACTTTGAGTACTTCTCTTCTAGCTCTCCTTTCTCAACGGCCAAGCGCTCATAATCCATGCTCCTCTGCTCTAGAGCCGAATCTAGGCCCATCTTTTCTTTTCGCAAATCATGCAACGTCCTCTCAGCTTCAGAAATCTGAAGGCGCAATACTTGTTTCTCTTGTTCAAAAGCAGATAAGGCCTCTTTGAGGTTCTCGTTACCACGAGACTGTTGTTCCGTTGAAAGCAGCAGTTTCTCCTTGACTTCTTGCATCTCTCTGATCAGCTCCTCCTTCTCATTGGAGAGTTTTCTTTGGTTTGCAATCAGGTCCTCTTTCTCCTGCAGAAGGTAGAGCTTTTCAGAGTCTGTAACTTCACTGCTGGTCTTGAACTCTTCCAGCATCTGAGCCAGGCTTGTTTTAGAGGCATTAAGCTCGGCACACTCACGAACTCGACTATCCAGGTCTTTCTTAATTAGATTCAGCTTGTTCTGAAGTACCTCCTTCTCAGTCTCAAAGTTGGTTTTGTCTAAAGCAGCAGCACTGATTTCAGCGGACATTCCTACTTTCTCTTTAGTTAGTGTTTCTACCAGAACCTGCAGTTGAGTTGTCTTCATCGTAAGATCTTCTTTTTCTAAATTCAGAGAATTGACTTTTCCCTGCAGCTCTACATTCTTAGAATCAGCCGTGTTTCTGGCATTTCGAGCTGCGTCTCGCTCCGATATGAGGCTCGCTCTCTCACATGTGAATTTTGACTGGGTTTCATTGAGATGCTCTTCAAGTCGGTTTCTCTCTTTGCAGACATTTTCATAATCCTCAAGTAACTGTTTCTTTTTAGACTCGATTTGCTGAATGTCCAACTGCTGCTTTGAGACATTTTCATCCTTCTCTGAATTTTGTCTTTGAAGCTTCTCGATTTGAGCCAAATAATCACCTTGACCGTTCTGCAGCTCTTTGGTTTCATTCTGGGCTTCTTGAAGGAGGTGTTTGAGAGTCTCAATGTCCTTTTTCAGTGAAATGCTCTCTTCATCTGAATGTGTTTTACTAGCGAGTAGCTCCTCTTGATACTCAGAAAGTTGATCTTTAGCTTTTAGCAGCTGTTCATTCTGCACCAAAAGATCTTTATGACTAATCTCAAGGGCAGAGAGCTGATTTTGTTTTTCAGAAAGCTGCTTCTCCAGTTCCTCTCTCTCGGTTTTAACTTCTCGACTTTCCTTACATTTGTTTTCCAGATCTAGACTCAAGTTTTCCAACTTTTTGGATAAATGGTCAACGTCATTTTTGTAGATGTCAAGCTCAGCAGAAAGGCGCTAGAAAAATAAAGGTGAAAGAAAAAAAAAGGGGAATATATATATATATATATATATACACACACACACACACATACAGACACACAGGGTAATGTATGAATAAATACAAAGCAAACCACCCAGATATGAAAATAAGCGATATGTAAATGGAAAGCCTCAGAAGGATAAAAACACTGCAAAAGTTCACACCTGAACTTGTAACTCAAAGTAAACGAATAAAAAGTAAAACTTGAAAATATTCACCTCCCCCCAACAATATCAAATAATATTGATGTAAACATATGGATTTCATTCAAAACAAAGGAAATGACTGCAGAGTGAGAATGTAAAACCACTTTCTACAGGGCTGTTATTTTATGTAATCATGCAGAAATTACTTTTGATGTTCTAGCAGAACAATTATTAGAATTTTTTTAAGATGAATTATAATAAATTTAGAATGTGAAATTAAGTCCTGGGTAGAAGTGAACATTTTCTTGTCTAAGGCAGGAATATAACAAACCCCAGAAAAGCTTTTGCCAAAGTTAAACATAAGAAGCTGAACATATGTCAGTTGATTTGGAACAAACACAAACAGACCCACAATTTTCTGCAGACTGTAAACTGCTCTGATGAGGTCAGCAACATGATTTGAATCAACGTGTGTGTGTGTGTGTGTGCGTGCGTGCGTGCGTGCGTGCGTGCGTGCGTGCGTATGGATGAATGAATGATACACTATAGTGTAAAGTGCTTTGCCCCGGCTTTCCACGGCAGCCGTCAGCAGCACGTTACTGCAGCAGCACGTCATAGCTACTGATAGGAACCGTTGTGGTCAACAGAACCTTTTCCACTGGAGCTGTCGGCAGCCGTCGGCAGCCGTCAGCAGCGCGAGTCGGCCGCGTCTCAGGAGCAGCATGTCGCGGCCTTTACGCGCCGGTTCTATTTTCTACGCGCGACGCCTCTGAAACGGGTCAAGTTCGACATTTTTGGGGAAGGAAAGACAGGAAATCGGACGCGGAAATGGAGAGAAGCTCCCGAGATTTTCAGAATAAAGAACGTACTGCCTTCCGGTTGCTTTACTTTTAAAAAAGGTTACTAACTGTGCGTCCCCGTGAGAAGTTATAACCTAGCTAGCGGTCTCCTTTGTTTTTCAGGTCCGTATTGGCGATTATAAAACGGACAGAACATAAAACACAAACCATGTTGTAGTTTTCTCCTGCTTGTTGTTGTGTTTACTGACGAAGTCACTCGTGTGACTTCGTGCTCGGTCGGTGACAGCTGCTCCCCTGCTGCTTCGCGTCTCGTGGGAAGGGCCAAGCAGCAGCTTACGCGAGCAAGACGTGCTGCTGCAGTAACGTGCTGCTGACGGCTCCTGTGGAAACCCGGGGTTAGAGTCCTCTGAAAGGCTCTATACAAGTGCGGGTCATTTATCATTTGTGCCTGATTGATGGATGAGTAGAAAAGCTGATAAACCTGCAATTTATATAACTAACTGGTCAAACAATGTTTTTTTTAATTTGGTCAATTTTATCTATTTATGACATTAAAGCATTTTCTATGGACATTTTTTTCTGATAAAAAATGAATTTGCATTTGAGGTTTAAAGTCTGCAAAAGTGATATTTCAAATTAATTTCAGAATCAATTACGAACTAAAAATAAAAAATGCTGTACATATATCCATTTAAAGCTGTGAATTGTCTAAAGATAAAATAAACAAATCTTTGTTTTGCTTGCCCTTTTTGCTTTATTCTCCATGCCAATTGACAATAGACATCTCTAATTATTAGAATTCATTAGAAGAAATTTTCTTAGAATTTTGAAATGACAATGTTAATAAAACTAATAAAATTCTTGAATTTGCTTGTAGTTTTCAATATTTTGCAAAGTAATTTGATGACATGATGATAAAAATGTGTAAAAAGACTGAATTGATGAGCTTGTGCTCTTACCTGAGCCTGTTCTTTGTATGACTGCAGCTCAGATACCATCTTTTCCAAGTCTTGAGTTTTGTCCTTGGAGGATGAGAGCTCTGACTTTAACTGTTCCACATGTGTCTGCAGCACCTCCAGCTCCTTCATGTGGAGCTCTGAGGCGTCAGAGAGGGACTTTTCTTTTGATGCCTTCAGATCCTTCAGAAGGAGCTCATTCTGTTTAAGAGTTGTCTCCTAATAAACAGAAAACAATAAAGATAATAAACAAATTACAGTTTTAACAAATTTGTCAGACATAAAAGGTGTTTATCCTGAAATGTTCAAGGATCATTTTGGAGAGGTGAATACTAACAATTGTCTGCCACATTAGTGCAGGTCTTGACAGGATTTTCCATCCAGAGTGAGACCACATGTGGGAGTTAATCTTTCACAACAATTACAGAACTGCAGCTACTTTCACTGCTTGTGTGGCTTTCCGTTTACTCGTGGAGATTTTCAAATATCAGTCAAAGGACTGTCATTCTGGACAAGCTACACACAAAACAGCTATTTTTCAGACACAATCTTAGAAAATCTCACGTGTTCAAGAATAAAAGCTACATAAATCATGAAAAATCTTAACGCGTTCTTTGAAGACAACTCCAACATACTAACCAAGTTAGCCATCTTCTCCTGGAGGCTATTTATTTGAGACTGATGGGCATCTTTGGTCTCTTTCAGCTCCTGCTCCTTGTTGGACAGCTCTTGTTGAAGCTGTTCATTCAGGTGTGCCACTCTCTCTTTCTCCTCTGCTAGCTGATTCTGCAACTCCTCCAGTCTCCTGTTTGACAACAAAGAAGAGAACATGCAGAAAAAAATGCTTTATTAAATCCATAACATTTAAGCAAAACACAAAAGGTAAACATTTTATTTCGTACCTTTCCTTCTGTAGGAGGTCATCATTCATTTTTGTCAGCTGTACTGAACTATCACCAGTTGCCTTCATTATGTCTGAAATATCATTTTCCAGCTTGCTTTTGTCCTTTGAAAACTGCTCAAGCTTTTCATCTGAAGCCTTCAGTTTTCTTTCTGTTGCTAAATTAAAACACATCTGATTATAGGCCTATGTTTAAAAGACATGACAGGTATACTAAAGTGAAATAATGAAGGAGATCACAACATTCTAGCACATGCTCACCAGCAAGCTGACTTCTTACAATCTCAGCCTCTGTAGTTAAGGTGGTGCACTGCTCTTCCTTCTTACCAAGTTTCTCAAGTGTTTCTGCGGAAAAAGTAGTTGTAATCAACATTCTTTGGAAGATAAACTTAAAACTGTGGTAAATGAGAAAATGTTGCTGTAAAATATTTGATTACAAGTGATAATATCTTGTACCTTGCATTGTTTGAGCAGATTTAATCAGCTCCTCTGTGCTTTGTTCCAACTTTGCTTTCTGCCATGAAAAAGTTTTATTTATGAAAATAAAATCAAATGGAAAAATGCACGTCTTAAAAACACTGAACAAAAAACATGAAGGTATTAGTTTACATGTATAGAAAGCCATCAACCTCACCAGGCTGTGGTGTTCTTGTTCCAGGGAGTCTTTCTGCTGATTTACAGTAGCCAGATTCTGCTGTAAAGAGACAACTTCCTGTTCTTTACTCTCCAGCTGGGAGCTCAGTTCACTAACCTTGAATTCAACAATTAAACATGAAAAAATTATTTCCATATACTAACAATGCAGCAGTACAGCACTGGAACCAAAAAGTGTTTTTAAAAACCCACCTTTGCTCCATGGCTGTGTCCCTGTTTCTGCACCTCCTCTAACTGACTCTTCAGGGCCACAGACTCCTGGTTAATTTGAGCTAACTGGCTGCAGAGAGCCACCACTTCTGCCTTCTGCTCTTTGGTTTCTCTGTCTTTGTCTTGAACCTGCTGTGCTATCGTTGCTTCCTTCTCCTCAAGCTCCTTAACCCTAATTTCAGCAGCATGAAGCTTTCCAAGAACGTCCTCCATCTCTACAAGGTGCTGCTCCTCTGCTCTCTCAACACTGGACCGTAGGAACTCCTCCAGTCGCTCCTTGTCCTCAGTCAAAGACAACAGCTGTGCCTTCATTGCTTGCATCTCTTGAGTCCAAGAGGAGACATCAGCTTTGTGTTTAGCTGTAGTCTCATCTAAAGCCAACTTGTGCTCCAGCTTGAGCTTTTCTAAAGCACTTTTGGCTTCTACAAGTTCCTCTGCTTGGACATCTGCACCTTTGCTGAAGGAAGCCTTCAGGTCTTTTATAGCTTGTTGATGGGAGTCAATGGTGGACTCCAACTTAGAACGCCATAGTTCTACAGTCTCCGCATTCTCCTTTTCAGCTTGGCTTAATCGCATCTGTAACTGTTCCTTCTCACTAGACAGCTTTACAGATGTGGCCCCAAGCTGAGAAACTGCTTCACTGTGAATCTTTTCTTGAGCTTCTAGTTTCTCTTTGTATTGCCCCATCTCTTTTTGCCATTTAGCTTCTTGAGTTGCCAGCTGGTCCCTAAGAGCATTTATCTCCTCCAATAAGGGGGATTGGGTAGAGTTAGACACATCAGAGCTCTGCTGGATCCCAACACGCAGCTGCAGGTCTGCTACCGCTCTTGTTTTCAGCAAAAGGTCTCTCTCGAGTTCCATAATACGTGATCTTTCTGACACAGTAGCAACCTTTAAAAGTAGAAACATAGCACTTAAAAATCTGTTCCAGTTGGCATAACTGTATACAGAAAAATTATTATTAATAAAACATAAACTCTTATAACTGGTACAAACAACTAAATATGGAGGTAAACGTTTGATCTCTAATGGGGGGGGGGGGGTCAAACTGCTTCCTTAACCAAGTCTTAAAAACATCCTTATACTGACCTCTAGTGGTTGTAAAAGGTATAGCTTTAATAATAGAAGTGAAGCAAACTATGCAAGATTATTTAAATCCAACGGTTTAGCTTTAATCCAAATTAATAAATTTTATAATTTTATCAAAACATGAACAAACATCAGTCATTAACATTAAGATGCAATCGTGTTTTCTGTTACAGCTTAATCCCATAAATCTGCTTTAGTTTATAAACCTTTAAAAAACATGGTATTTAGCTGTTTTAACACACTGTTTTAAAGCTTAATTATGACAAGGATCAATTCATTAAAACCATCTTTGTATAAGAAAGGTGGAAAAAAAGCCTTATTTCCAAAAAATGACATGAACTAAACAGTATTTCTACGACTGATACCATGGAAAAACACCAGGGTGTTTAGTCTGGGAAGTGAAGCGGCCTTTAGCAAAACGCAGGGACGCCAAAAAAAAGCAGGACAAATGGATGCCAGTGAGGATTGGGAAGTAAAACACAGGACATCTAGGAAAATGATTCGCTGGGGAGAAGGGACAAGATCGTCTGTCTGGTTAAGCAGCATTACCAGTAAAGCAGAAGTTTGTTCAGTTGGGCAGCTTGTTTAAAGTATTAAGGTGTCACTCTGAGCCATTTGATTGGTAAAACAGAGTGGCAGGAGACCAAATTGTGTAACTGTTAATATTTAAATGCAGTTTTCTCTATTTGAACACAAAAATGTGAACTAATTCACATTGTTTTGTATGAGGAATTTTGATGCGTGAAACTGGAAATCCACATCTTAAAAAAAAAAAAAGCAGTCATGTGAAACCTAGGAAGGTCTTTACCCTTAAACCCAGCTCAGACCCTCTATCCCAATGCAGCACATCCCAGAGCAGAATTCATTACCCTAGTGTCTTCTAACTCTCTTTGGAGTTTCTCAGCTTTGGTCTTTTCAAAGAGCAGGCTCTGTTCAAGCTCCTTAATGTGGGCATGCTCCAGTCTGGTCTGCGTCTGTTAGTAAACAAGGAGGAGAGGAAGAGAACACACCAGTGCCACCATCACATGCCAGCCCAACGCAGACAGAGAGGAAGGGAAACAGCAAAGATTGTGTGTGTGTGTGTGTGTGTGTGTGTGTGTGTGTGTGTGTGTGTGTGTGTGTGTGTGTGTGTGTGTGTGTGTGTGTGTGTGTGTGTGTGTGTGTGTGTGTGTGCGTGTGCGTGTGTGTGTGTGCGTGTGAAGGGCAGGGGAATAGGTACCGGATGAGTGTGATGGGTGAAAATGAGCAAACAACTCCCGTGCAGAAATTTCATGCTATGCTCCAAACACAGATTTTTTTTTTTTGAGTGTTGGAAAATACAGAACAAGCAGATAAAAAAGTGGACATGTATAATGGGCGTGCAGGTTGAGGATGTTCATGAGAACAGTTTAGCAGTAAACATGCAAAACTGACAACTTGTAATAAAAATAAATAAATAAAAAGGAAACAGGTCTGTTATGCATAGAAAATGTTATAATGTGTATCAAACCAGTGCAGACAAGTTTAAATGTTTCATTACAGCATGAAGAGAAAGCAGTGCTGGTTTCCCTCCCCATTACAATCCTTTATCAAAATAGATGATCCTCTATTATAATGGTTACATACTAGTTTACTAGTTAAACTTAGCATTTTTTAAAATCCACCTTATCCTCTACACCTGTACTGCCGGTAAACCAGTAGCATCTTAACAAGTTCACCCATTTTTCTCAATAGATTTACAGCGCTCTCTAGGATAAATGAATGCCTTGTGAGTTGATCTCTATGGGGAAAAAGCTCTGCTGCTCATGTTTCAGGAGGTAGTAGTGAGACAGAAGAGGTGAGCAGAAGACAGAAAATCTTATTTCCTGAAATTCAGACATCTCGCCTTTGATTGGCTAACAGCAACGTGACTCTGCTTCGCAGCTAATATTTAATCTCCACAAATAACACAAGCCTGAAGGAATTCTGCAGCACTGTGCAGTTGCTAATGCTAATGGTTAGCTTCTACTAGCCAAGACTTGCCATGCTCTCTCCTAGATGCTAAATCAACGATGGGCAAGTCCATGAGTACTAATTTTCATTGTGAGATAGATCTGACTGTCTTTTCTAACCCAAGTGTTTCCCTTGTCTGTTTTCTAGCGGCGGCTAATGCAGGAAATAGGGTTAGAAGACTATTCTTGTGTTTAGCCTGCATGTGAAACTCAGAGTTACAGATCAGGTTTCAAAAATGAAAAGTAAAAACACAGTTTTTCTGTGTACTTTGTCTTTAAGCATAATCCATAACCACACTGCTTTATTTCTTCGCTGATAGTAAGAGTTTATACTGTTAATTGTGTCTTTTTTAAAACCACAACAATTTCCCGCTACCATGTGTGTGACGTGTGATTAATACTAGAGAAATTAAACTTTTTGTGCTCAAGAAATAAAAATAATCCACTCCATGTGGTGCAACAAGAACAAAATCATTTAAATGAATTTCCAGGCTAAATGTTGTACTTTTGGTCTAACTTGAATGCTTGAATATTGAAAAAAAGGTGCCAGGTAACATCAATCTAAATTCAAAAGCTGTGGTGCATTAAAAGTTTCATAGACACAATATGACCAAATTATCTGTTAAATGAACTAAAAAAAACGTATGTAGCACGTCATGAAAAGAAACAAAGCAGAATGGATTTGGTTATGATCAGTGACTACTCTTGTTTCTTTTAACCCTCTGCAATTTTTTTTCTTTCGCTTTTAATAATTTTACTTAATAGTACCAAATAACTTGGTGGCACAGTTACCCTGAAAATCAACATTCTATTAAATTCTTCAGAGAAGTTAGTCCCTTTTGGTAGCAGAAGTGAAAAGGGATTCAGGTCTGTGGTCGGGAAGTGGAAGGACAAATGAGCATCCAGTGGTTTCATGCTGAGTACTGGATCGACAGAAAAGACGAGGGGGAAGAACAAGAAATACGATCACACCACTGGACTGGGAGTTACAGCTCAACATTAGTACAACTTCCAACAGTTTGCTATTAATAACTGTTTTAGTTCAGCCTAGTCGTTTTGTTTTTAGTCGCTGCATTTCAAGCTACATGCAATTTGGGATGATTTCACAGCTTATGAAAGGGTAATAAACTGTTAGTTTACGAGTTAGAAAAGAAGATAAAAGGGGTTTTCCAACCCTGTTGCTCTTATTTTCAACATCTATTTCAAGCTTGGATGTCTTCAGGATTACTAAGAAGATTCCCCTGTGCAGCACTGTGGAGTAAATAGATTGATCAGATATGAAGATCCAACTATGCTCCTTAATTCTGTCTATCGTAGCTATGGATAAAAACATGACTTAATGTGAGTGAGAGGATAAAAAACACAATAAGAGCCTTATTCATCTCTATTAAAACAGGTAAAGATTTACAGAGCATAATGTTATACAGATAAAGAAAACATTTTCCAGTGATTATCAACTAGTTTGTGTAATTTACACAAGACCGACAGACTTTTAAGATTGCAGTTAAGAGACGTTGTATGGCTTTATGGGAAATCATGTGTGGTTATTCCTTTTAGCATAGCCTTGTCATTTAGATCTGAGTGGTTTTTCCACCACTGGGTACATTTGACAACCCTTCACCTAATCTGAGATGAAGCCAGCATCAAACTGTTCATGCAAACCCAGCTAAGGAGAGTGCTGAGTGGATAGTCTCTACTGATGACGACAGATGATGAAAATGACCTGAATTGTAGCTCTGTGACCAGGGATGACAGTTGATTCTGTGTAAATGTAACTTGCAGAGGACATCAAAAACAGTTTATTCTACATCTATGAAGCAAGTAAAATGAAAACATGTTTACCAGCCATGTTTTCATTATGGGAAATAAGAAAAGCTGCATAAGTACTTGTAGAAATAAGAGTTAAGTATTGCTAATTTACCTCAAGGTCTCCTTTGGTAATGCAAGCTTCCTCAACACGAAACTGAAGGTCTTCCACTTTCCTATTTAACACAACAATATCATTAACTTAAAATACTGTTCTGAGTGGGTTTTGTCTCAAATTGCTAGAGAACTTTTACCTGCGTTCCTCCTCCAATTGATTCAGCAGCTCCACTTTCTCTTTGTCTGCAGCTTCCACTAAGCCACGCAACTGATCCATTTTTGTCTCCATCTTCAAAAATCAAGGAAAATGAACAGCGATGATGGGCTGATTTGACAATACTTTAATTCTAACAGCACTTTTGTATCTTAGAGTGAGCTTACCTGCTCCTGATCATCCCTGAGCAGGGTAATTTCCTGTTCCATCTCTCCAGCATGGCTGGTGGCCTTAGCAACCTCAGCTCTCTCCATGTCCCTCTCAGCCATTAGCTGCTCAATATGCTGCTGCTTCTCCTTCAGTGCCTCCTGCAGGGCTGTAGGGCCTGAAATCTTTCGATTATACCTTGACGAGGTCTCTGTGAGCTGTTAAAAAAAAAAAAAAGAACAGTACCATGATCATAAAGTGAAGAGCAGAATTATAAGGTTTTTTTGTTTGTTTTATTGTTACTAAGCATGTCTTTGTCTCACCAGTCCAGCTCGGCTTGGCTTAGTGTTAACAGAAGATGTCACTGAGCTCATGGTACTGATAGATGAGGCACTAGGGCTTCTCTTTATCCCAGATGGTGTGGCCACCACTTTTCGAGCTGTTGTTTTGGATTTGGCTGGAGTTGTAGAAGGAAAGCCAATGCGTGTGACCTTGTGAACGGGAGCAAATAAGCCATACTTGGGTTGGCACTGGAAATATCTGCAGAAAAACAAATTAATTACAATTCTGTTTGTGTTCAAAAGAGAAAGATGAATTGTTGATAGACAAGTTTTCTGTTAATTATTCACAGTTTATGTGGCTTTTCTACCTGGTGCCAGCCACTGCTCCATCGTTCTTCCCTAGAGGTTCATCCAGTTCCACACCACACCACTCTCCTTTGGCAAAATCTGTTTCTCCAAGGAATCGCACCACTCCTGCCTTAGTGCCACCAACCTAAGATGAAAACAGTAAAAATTAAGTCAAATGTTTAATCCTCTCAGATAAGAAGACAAACTAGCTTTGTCTGCTAGAAAACCCTTAGTAAGATCATTCCATAAGAGACAGAAATAAACAGCTGAGCTTTGAAAAGTTAACACTAAACCCAAACAGCTTTCATTTCTAGTTATTAAAAATTGCACAGCAGCAGAGACTGCAAAATCCCATAGTTGATAATGAGCACATTTCCTCTACAGGACTGGCAGCAATACTTCCTGCAAACATAATGTGCTACACAGCCAATAGGTCTAATAGGTCCAATAGGTCCAATAGGTCTAAATTAAGGCAAGTGCAGAGGAAGAAAGGTTCCCACCAGTGGACCTACAGAACTGTAAACATAGTGAGTGCACCAGCATGATAAAACATCTTGTTTATGTGTAAAACTTCCTGAGAATTCTACACCAATAAATTCAACTAGAGATGAGTATTTAAAGCTTTCTGCTCATGTCACAGCTGACGTTGGTTAAAAAGCCAAAAACGGTGTTTCACAGATCTGACCCTTTGATGAAATCCTCACATAAGACAGCAGGTTTTATTTTGTAAACATTACCAACACACGATCGGTGATCTTTAGTTCTCGTTCGCCCTTCTTGACTGAGCCGGTGTCTGAAAGGTTGGAGACAGATTCACTGTTGGTGTGTGCGAGGTTCGAAGTGGCAGTAGCCGCTGCCGTGGAAGGGGCCTTCTTAGCTGCTGTTGTAGTTTTGGGCAAGGCAGACTTTGTGGCAGGTGTGTGTGAGGCAACACTTCCAACTGAAGGGGTGGGTGATGCAGCTCGAGAAGCTGTTGCAGTCTGAGTTCCATTAGCCTCACCTTCCGTGCGAGACAATTTAGAAGGGCGGGTAAATATCCCTCGAAGGGCTTCACACTGGAAGTAACGGACGCCTGCCACTGAGCCATCGTTCTTTCCAATCGGCTCGTCTAGGACAACCCCCGCCCATTGTCCAGGAGCAAACTGGGTTTCTCCCAAAAACTGTATGATGCCAGGCTTGTTTCCATTCACCCACACTCGCTCCCCAACCTGGAAGTTTTCTTCAGCATTGTTGTCATCGCCTCCACTGGCACTTGTAGCTGCTTTATCAGCACTAGCAGCTTTTGCTGTGTTTGCAGAAACAGAGGATTTTCATTAAGTAAATGACTTCATCAAACAAACCAAAAAATAAAACATCCTGCTAAGTTAATTATTTTCTTTTTGTATCCAATCCTACAAACCTTTAGTTTTTCAGTATTCAGTGACAAACACTTCAGTGTTAGGATGAACAGGCAGAGATTTATACCTGTGACTGGATTTGTTTTGGGAGCTCCAGATCCAGGTGCCTTAGATATCTTGCTCGGGACTTTGATCCCAGTTGACTTGGCTGTGCTCATATTTCCAGCAGTGAATTGAACCACAAAGCTTGTGTCCGTCAGCGGGGACAGACCGGCTCCAAACCATCAAAATCACAGCCGCCAGCTCTTGGATGGAAAAGCTGTGCTCTCCACAAAAGATCAGGATAAAAAGAAAAAGAAAAAGAAAAAAAAACAGGAAAAGGGAAAAGGGAGAAAAATTGCTGCTTGCAGGTGGAACTCTGTCAGATAAAACACACACACACACACACTGCTTAATTTTTTATTTTTGATCATTATAATTTTAAAAAGCATTCACAGAAAACCTAAATAAATATGGACCAAACATTATATCCATTTAATTCAAAATATACCTGTAAAAAGTATAATTAATAGTTTTGGATATTTATTATTTTTATTATTACTATTAGTAGTAGTAGTAGTAGTAGTAGTAGTAGTAGTACACAGGAATAATATGCATTACATAAACAAGTTAATTAAACCACTGCCATTTATTTTCTTCATAGGGCTTAACAGAGAGATTGTTTCCATTAGTGACAACAAGCTTCTCAGCACACACACTGTCACAGATCTAAAAATAATCTAAAAAACTAACAGCCAATATGGAGTCTATAGTTCACCAATCACAGGCATCTAAAAACCTCAGCAAGCGACCTTGATAAAAAGGCAAGCAACAAATGTTATTTTCCCCCCAACTCAATCCTTCAGCCGACAAAAATCACGCAAAGCTCACTGGCAGCTTTTCTAAAACAGGATTACATGTAGAAACACGACCACTACCAGCTACGAGATTATCCATTTTGTCAGATTACTTTAGGATTCACTGCCTGCTTCAATTAGGACTAATGCCACCTCTACTAGTTGACTAGTTTGCAGCTTTCACACCTATTTCAGCAAAAGGTCTGCTCACACCAACAAAGAACAGGTGTAGTAAAAGAGGAACACAAAATATGACATTACTAATGCAGTCAGTGAAGGTCAAATGCACACAATGACCTGAAGCAGGGTAAGTTGTCTAAATAAATATTTCATAGAATACGGTGTCAAATGTCCAGTTAATATGACACCAAAAAATAAACGTAACTGGTCCTGCATCTTCTCTTTAAAACAGGAACTTCTTTTACGAATCAGTTACAACATTTCTGAGTTTAATATGAAGCTGTAAGCAATACGGCTTTGATTGAGTACAGAAATAAAATGTTGCATTTTAAAAGCCCTGCATTATAAAATAAATTATGAAGTCGGGCTGTTGTAAATCTGCCAGAGACGCTCGACTTAACTGTTTGACTTGTTTGGGAGGTTCACTGAAACATGCTTTGACTTCTGTAAAGGCCTAAAAAGGCCTAAAAGCTGAGGTGTGCTCATCTACCGGCACTGCGAGCAAGCCTTTAGGAAGACTCAGACTTAGCAGGAGAGATTATCTGAAGACTGGATGGGAACAGTTATGTATATTTGCCCAAGATGGAAAGAGACAGCTAGGGAGAGAACGATTTGGTGCATCTCTGCTCATGCTGCAGCCCTGTAGTAACCCAGTCCTGGATAAACTGCCGAAAATAGATCGATGAGTGGATGGAAGAAATGAAGGGAAGCTCTCACACTTGTTCAAGACAACTTCTCAGCGAGAAGGGTGGCCATCAGCAAGCATGGTTTAATTTGAACAGAGTGTTCCAGTTTTTTTTTCTAGATGTGTCATCAGCACCATTTCAATTTACTTTCTGTTTATTTTACCTCAAAAACTGACTAACTTAGCATCCCTTTCTTCAAGCTCTATTCAACAGCAACATTTACAGTTCGCACTAACAGATGTTTTAGCTCAGATTGGTACCCTGATGCACATGATCTACTTACACAAAAATATTTCCCAGCAATGTTAATCTTTCACTTTTGACTCTATCTAATCTGTAGCTTATGACAAAGCCAAATACCAATGTTTGCAATTTTTTAAAAAAAGGGACTCAAACAGTATCAGAAACTAGAAGATTTGTTATGTAAATTCAGTCCTTTATAATTTACCAGGGATGTGTATTTTTGAAATTCTGGCGATACGATACATATCACGATACAGAGGAGACGATACGATATATCACGATATATTGCGATACATTCATTCAGATGTTACAAGCAATTTTTTTTACTGAGTTTATTGTAAGAATGTCCAATAAACAGTCCAAACTGATACGCAACATGTTTAACATGAGGTATCTGAACCATGATGGAGGGTTTTACATTTCAGTGGTGGAAACAAAACCCGTTGCACACTGCTGCCAACTAGCGGGTGGCGATTGAATTGCACAAAACGAAAAGAAAATACACAAAAGTTTGCATGTAAATTCTTTCAAAAATTAGATGCACGGCTTTTGAATATCGATGTAATAATCGCAGGAAAAAATATCACGATATATTGCCATATCGATATTTCCGATACACGGCTTTTGAATATCGATATAATGTTGCTAGAAAAAATATTACGATATATTGCCATATCGATATTTTCTTACATCCCTATAATTTACACTCACTTTTTATGATTAATACAAACAAAAACAGATGGGTGGCTACGTGTTAAACAGAACTGACATACTTAAATGGCATTAGCATGTCAACTTCTGGTTTAATGGTGGAATAATGCAACACACCCAGAGTCCTTTAATGTCAGAACAGAAAAGTGCAGATATATTTCAAATTTCTTCCCAATATTATGTCATGTTATATTTACTAGCTTTGTGATTGGGAAGTGGGATTTGTTAGAGAAACCAGATAACTTTCCACAACATATTTTAGTGAGTTAATATTAGCCTGTGGTTTATACATGGGACCAAGTATAGCAGGTTCAACTGTGTCCTGGATGTCTAGGTGTCCTTCTGCACTTCTACCTCACACAATGAGAAACTTTCTCTAGAGGCTTTCAGCAAAAACACATTTACATAATCAGAAGTATGCATTATATGAGGTATCTAACACTCCCCCAAAGGTTTTGCAATTGCAATTACAATAAAAGTTCCTTTTTTATTGAGGAAGCATCTGCAAGGACAATTACGTGGGCCCTAATGCCCCTGACACAGAAGTTGTGAAAAACAAAACAAAAAAAATATTAGAAATTGTTTTGAAGTTACAATCATTATTGCGCACAAGCAACCTTAAAACTAAATTAATATAGTTTATGATCTAATTCATCCTGTCTTCTATGCAAATTGAGGTCACATACATGAGATCAATAAGGTTTTTTTTTTGTGTGAACATGGAATTTTGCAGAAGGATCTTCTTCTTTAGCCCGTAAATGAAAGTCATTGTCTCATACCTTACTAAAATGAATTTATGCTGCTCAGCTACATGAAGACAAACATTAAAAAATATGAATATTAGAAAATCCATTATGCAACAACACTGAGGCTTTGGTCATCTGTTCAAATAGACTAAGCTGTTTTTTTTCCTAATGCATAAAGGCTAAATCATGAAAGCCTTAGTGACTACAACCCTACCACTCCACTACTGCGTAGGTTCAGCATACACTGCGTGCCTGAGAAATTAAATCACATGTTTGTTTGTTTGTTTGGCTGGTTAGGAAAGTGCTCTGTTAAACTCACTGATCACGTCTGTTGCTAGTAGGATCCCAGATCTGTCGATGAGGTGGCACGTCTGATTGTAGATGCAATAGACTGCCATGTCAGCTAACTTACATCTAGCTAAACTGGGCGTTTAGTGAGAAATAATCACGGTATACAAAAACCAGAAACCGCCGTAAGCTAACCGACTGAAACAAATTCCACAAGTCTAATAATTCCCCAGCGTCGCCGAGGTTCCATCAGTGATCTTGCCACAAGTGAAGATCACTACAAAATAGATTAAATCCCTTTGGTTCGATTCCGGTATGTTACCTGTCGCCTCCTCGGCTATACGAATCCCTCTTTAACAGCAGAGGAAAATCAGACGTGATGATTAGTTGCTAAATAACGTTAGCAGGGAGGCCTGAGTGGTACAGCAAACCGGGGTGGTCAAAAGAGCTGCTACGTAGCTTAACTAAACACCTCAAGTAAAGTCTTCACCACCTGGACAACTTTTCCTTCCGAGTTCACCCTGTTTATCATTCACACATGAAAATTAAAACCAATGAAAATACACAACCAGGGCGTGAGCAGTCACTAACCTGATAGGTTCCTGTTAGAGCTCAGTCTTCTGAGGAAAGAAAAATATCTAGCTAACGAGCTAAGTACAAAACCACTACTGCTCGGATATCACGCACGAGCCGAGCGCGAGCTGTCTCTTCAACGGCCGACTGGAACGTCATCAGAGTGCTGACCAAAGATAATGTGTTAAGGCAAGATGATTCCCCCCGCCGTTTCCAAGAGTTGCATCAATTAGGTAAATATGCAAAAGTGAAGTTTAAAATCTACAGTGGCATTTTTTAACATACTAAAACCCTGAGGAAAATGTAAGAGAAAGTAATTATGTAACTGTCCCTGAGACAGTTAAAATAAAGTTGTTTATTTCAAATGTTTCTGTGATAGAGAGATGCTTAATTTGGTTCATTTAATTACTAGATAAGATGATAAAAGTGTAACATTGATTAAAAACATGTCTAAAATATGTGATTACAAAATAGGGGTTTGTTAAATATGTAACATGCTGTAAAGTTTGTATGAGGTAGAGTTTGTAATGGTCACATGATCAGAGTTTGGTTTAGAGCGCAACCATAGCAACTGTAACTGCTGTTGTAACTGTAACTGTAACATAGCATGGATACATGGCTACAGATGCGTCTATAGCCTCGACGTTAATGTCATTCTGCATGTGGTCCAAGAGGCGCACACGTTTTCACGGTGTCTGAAGACAATAAGAGAGAGAGAGCAAAATAAACATCCGAAGACATCAGTATGATGCGTGGCCATTCTTTGTTGGACCCCTGTAGTTACAGTGAAAACGTACCGCCAACGTGCCTGGAAGTTAACGTTAGAAGCAGTGAATGTTCCAGAAGAAGAAAAGAAGGAAGGTTCTTGACAGCGCAGTGTGTGTGGTTCGAGAACATAGCGGAAAGGAGGCTTGCAAACTCGAAAAGAGGAAACATCATTATTGGCGCTTTGGACGGAAACAACCACGACTTCACCAATAGAGGGCGACATTGACCATCATAAACGACAGCTCTGCAACCGTCTGCAACTCTGCCGTTGCACACAGCAAAAACTGTATAATCCCCTGTCTTCAAGGAAAAGATAACGGCTCTGCAGTCAACGTCCACAACTGTTAGTAAAGTTTGGAGAGGTCTATTAAAATAATAATTGATTTTGTATGAGAAAGGTACTGAGTTAAAGGTAACCAGCCTGTCATAGCCAAACTGTTCCCCTTTAATTTACAAGTGGTGTTGTTTAAAGTGTTCTAATGATGTTTAAGAGTTAAACTTAAAAGAAGACTAACAAGGGGTGTTGTTAAGCAAATTGTTGCAAGAATCAGATTGTATTGAGAATTATATGTTTGCCAGGATCGCATATACATATAGCAACGACTTGTTATGCAGCAGGTTTGCTGAAACATGTGCAATGTCAGTAAACACAGAAAAATCACATATTGAAGAATTCGGAGAACAAATCGATTCCCTTAAGGAAGAGCTAAGTAGATTGAATGAACAATTGAAATTACAGACTGATGATGTTGAAAGGGAGAAATTTGAGTTACTCATAGGTGATATTCATGCTAAAATAGAAACAAAGCAGAAGACTGCCGCTAATACTTCAAGACTAGAGCCCAGGAAATCCTCAAGGGAGCGAAAGTTAACACCCAAAATGTTAGAAATTAAGCAACAAGAGTTTTCTCAGAAGGAGAGTAAATTTATCAAACTATATGAAACCTGGAAAGAACAAGTTAAAGCTACACGTTCCAAACATAAAGAAGAGTGCTCTGACCAGGAATTAGCTGACATGATGGATACTGTCGAAGGGCTGGAGTCACAAGTGAAAAATACATACGAAGATATAAGATCGCAGGCAGCCCCTTCTACTGAGACTAGAAGAAAAATTGATTCCTGCACAGCAGTAACAGCGGACTTGATGAGAATACTTAAAGTACGTATGAGCGAAGTGGGGATAGAAGAGTTTGATGCTAAGGCAGAAAATGCAAGACTTCACATGGTGCTAGACAGAGAATATGCTCAGTCAATATTTGGGACTACAATCTCCCGACCTTCAGTACGTAGCCACCGCTCAAGCTGTTTATCGGAGCAGCAAAGCATCAATGTAAAAAAGGCAGAGTGTGCTGCACAGCTTGCCGCGAAGCAGGCCGAGATAGAAATGGAGGAGGCTATTGCTACACAAAGGCAAGAGCTTAAAAGACTAGAAAATCAGCGAGATCTTCAGGTAATAACTGCAAAGCTAAAAGCTTATTCTCAAGCAGATTCAAGTGAAGTCTGTGGAGAAGTCAAAAGTGCACACAGTGAGATAGTCAGTTGTCCTCCGTTAGCTCCTGAAGAAATCGTACCAGAGCAAACCTACAAGAATAATAACAATGAACAACCAAACAATAATAACAATGAGTCATTGTTAATGCAAGCATTGCATGACACAATGGTCCTCACCAGACTTCCTGCACCTGAACCCCCAGGCTTCTCAGGGGACCCACTTAAGTTCTTAGAGTGGAACACTAGTTTCAAAGCTTTGATAGAACGGCGATGCACAAATCCAGCCGACAGGTTGTTCTACCTACGCAAATACATCAGTGGAGAAGCATGGTCTGTATTGGAGGGAAGCTTTTACAGAAAAGATGACCAAGCATATGACCAAGCTTGGGAAGCTTTGAATGCTCGGTATGGTCACCCCTTTGTAATTCAGCGTGCATTTAGGGAAAAACTGAACAACTGGCCAAAGATTGGTTCAAGAGAGTCACTTAAACTGAGACAATTCAGTGATTTTATGACAGCCTGCAGCAATGCTATGCCATACATCAAAGAACTGCAGGTGTTAAATGACTGTGAAGAGAATCAAAAATTGCTCAGAAAACTTCCTGACTGGGTGACTTCTCGTTGGAATCGTCATGTCACGGTGCAGTTACGGCAAACAGAAGAATATCCAAGCTTCAAACAATTTGCTGACTTTGTTACACAAGAAGCGGAAGTTGCATGCAATCCCATAACATCATTTAATGCCTTGAAACACACTGAAACTAGAGACATAAAGCGTCCAAAGGCTAATGCATACATCACAAGTGTGGAAGCATCAGACAGAACAACCACAGGATACAGTAAAGTGGAGAACAATTCAAATGAGGCTGATATAGAAAGAAAAGCACATGCTTTGCCATCAAACTCAGTCACATGTATTTGCTGTGGAGAAAGCCATTCTATTCACAAATGCCAGACCTTTGCTAAAATGTATGTGGAAAACAAGAGAAAGTTCATACTTGACAATAACCTGTGTTTTGGCTGTCTCAGAAGAGGACACAATTCAAAAGACTGTAAGCGCAAGGCGACTTGTGGGGTTTGTAAAAAACATCATCCAACAGCTCTTCATGAAGACCGTCCAACAACTGCAGTGAACACATCATCACATAGAATGCAGGCAGAAGAAAACATATCTGCACTTTCTTGCTGCATGGCCAAAGGAGATGGTGGGAGCACATCCATGATAGTCCCTGTGTGGGTTTCTTCAACCACCACTCCAGAGAGAGAGACCTTAGTGTATGCTTTATTAGATACGCAGAGTAGCAACACTTTTGTAGATCAAGAGGTGTGTGAGGAGATGGGGATGAGTTTAGAGCCAGTGAAGTTAAAGCTAACCACTATGATGGGAAGAGATTCCATTGTTCAGAGCGAAAGGGTTAGTGGGCTCAGAGTTAGAGGGTTTTACTCCAAAGTCTTTATCAATTTGCCACTTGCCTATACCAGAAACTTCATCCCACTTGAACGTTCACACATTCCCACCTCTGAAACTGCCAAGAGATGGAAACATCTAATCAGAATAGCACAGGAGATGCCCGAGTTAATGGATTGCAAGGTCGGGCTGTTAATAGGCTACGACTGTTCTAGAGCACTGGCACCACGGCAAGTAATCGCGGGGGGTGATGAAGAGCCATATGCAATCAAGACAGACCTGGGCTGGAGCATTGTTGGCAGTTCACAAAAAATGGCAACATCAACAGAAGTGACAGGCCTGTGCCATCGCTTATCTGTTAAGGAGCTTCCACCTCTGACACCAGCCACCGTCATCAGAGTACTTGAGTCAGATTTCAAAGACACAGCTCCTGGAGAAAAGAGCATATCACAAGATGACATCCAGTTCATGCATCTGCTAAATGAGGAAATACACCAGAATGCTGACGGACACCTAGAGATGCCACTTCCCTTTAAGGCACGCCCTCAGCTGCAGAAAATAAGCGTCTGGCTCTGGTGCGACTTAAGCACCTGAAAGGGAAGTTTGAGAAAAACCCCAAATTTAAGGACGATTATGTAAGTTCATGGACAATGTCTTCAAGGAAGGTGATGCTGAAAGAACTGAAGATGATCCCAGAGAAGGAAATACGTGGTACATTCCACATCAAGGCATCTATCACCCAAGAAAACCAGAAAAAATCAGGGTTGTGTTTGACTGCTCTGCAAAGTACAGTGGCACAGCTCTGAATGATCACCTCTTGACCGGACCTGACCTCATCAACAGTTTGACTGGAGTCCTCTGCAGATTTCGCCAACACCCTATTGCAATAATCTGTGATGTAGAGAAGATGTTTCACAGATTTCATGTAAACAGAGAAGACAGAAATTACTTGAGATTCCTGTGGTGGGAAAACGGTGAAACAAACACAGAGCCAAAAGAATTTCGCATGAAAGTCCATCTTTTCGGGGCAGCATCCTCACCAGGCTGCGCAAATTATGCAATGAAGTATCTTGCGAGCCAAAATGAAAGGGAACATCCAACAGCAGCCAACTTCATCAGAAGTAGCTTCTATGCTGATGATGGGCTAGTCAGTGTAAAAACTGTGAATGCAGCCATTGAACTAGTGAGAGATGTGCGGAAGGTGTGTGCGAAGGCAAGATTACGGCTTCACAAGTTCATATCCAACAACAGAGAAGTCCTGGAGTCAATTCCAGATAGTGAACGAGCTAGTGGAGCCCAGGATGTGGACATCAGTCATCATGAACTCCCAGTTCAAACTGTGTTGGGAGTAAGGTGGAGTGTAAGCAGTGACACCTTCTCCTTTAAAGTTGCCCTGGAGGAGAAACCAGTATCACGACGGGGAATTCTTTCCATTATCGCCTCTGTGTTTGATCCATTAGGCTTCTTGGCTCCTTTCCTTCTAATAGGAAAGAAAATTCTAC